CAACATTCACCAACCTAAACAAGAAGAGAGTCCAGACGAATTGCAGGAGATTCCGAAATAGTCCGGAGGTTGTAGTTGAAGCCAATTGAATACATTTACTATTTAGTATTTCAAGATTATTTTTATGTAATTTTGGTAAATATATCTGTTAAAATGAGATGCCAATGTTATTTTCAGTTCCGCGTCATTTAGATGATAATTTATCCATTGCTCTCTGTACATTAAATCAGAAGTTTGAACTGAAGATATGATTAGTCAATGAAATGAAAATGATAACAATTGTGTCATATAAACAGATACAATATAATAACAGCGAAGAGTTTTATTCATCAAAAATAGGCACAATATATATTTACATGAATAGAATGATATTACATTAGACAAACGCCATAATTACGCGACTGAAAGAGTAACAATATATATATATATATATATATATATATATATATATATATATATATATATATATAATAAAGAAATAATCATACATTGAATCAATTAGCAATATTAATGCGATTAATGGCGAAATCTCTTCGCTAATAGACTCAATATAAGCATTAAACTACTAACAATTCACTAAATGATGCGATCCTTATGTATAAAATTGTTGTCAGATGGATCTAGTGTATTTTTTATAGAAGCAAGTACTTTCAAGGACTTCATGTCCTCATCATCAAGATGCAATTTTTTTCCTTTAAAATCAAAACTTGAAGACGAAATAAATGGATTGTACACAGAAAGATAGTTTTTTTTTAAGAATGTGTTATTTATTAACAGTTGTATAATATTGGAACGTGCAATTTTATATGAATTTTGTAATTTGGTAAATCCACGAATTTACCTGGAAAACATTTACAACAAAAGAATTCTGTGAATTACTTACCTGTGAATTACTTAATTATCTCAAATCATCCTTAATTTCCATCATTTATATATCCTTGCTTGAACCGGCTTCTAATACTCTGGATGTAGCTGCTTGGGGATAGTAGTCGTGGCTCTATGGGGCACAGTCCTATGGGTAAATGAAACTTGGATGAGTTCCACCACGGAATTTGTGAATTCCTGTACCTGTAACGGCATTCACCCGAGGTGGGTTGATCCGGCTCCAATATTGGAGTTTCATGGGAATTTGGAATTCACAAGCGGTCCCCAACCCGCATGTATAGCACATGAGATTTGATTATAGTGATGAAGGTTTCGTGCAGGACAATCCACACTTTTTGAAGGGCCGAATACAGAGACCTGGTTCACTAAGTGCCACACGGTCCCCAAACGACCCCCGCAGGTTGTGAATTCAAAGTTTTCCTTCTCCTAGACCAGTTGCCATCCAAGGCTATAGAACTCAGTCTGTCCTGCTATTTACCCATAGCTGGAGGGAGAAGAAGAGGATTCACAACTTTCCCAAGAGTGTTAGCACGTAAGTGAATGTAATGGATTCGACTAGAATTCGAACTTGGATCTCCGATTCCTCAATCCAAGTCGCTATCCATTACTCCACCGTAAATGATCGGCGCAATATCGAGTCTAGTTCGCTACCGAGGCCTGTTAGTACAGTTAGTATGACGTTTGCCTGTCAATGTAACTGTGCGGGTTTCAATTCTCGGTAGTGGATACGCACTGCTGATGAGTCCCGAATATAGGATGAAACGGCCGTCTAGTGCTTTCTGCATTCTGTTGAAGTTTCTCCTAGACTCGATGAATTACTTAATTTCTATCATATATGTATATTGATAGATTTGAATAGACACAATTTTTGGTGTGGCGACCTAGGCAACCTTTTGGCTAAATCTTCTTCAGGGACCCATCGTTGGCACAACTGAAGAAACATTTTTGTTTGATACCTCGAGAGCAGTTTATTTGAGAAATATCAGAAACCATATGTCTATCAACGTAATCTTGATGACACCTTCTCTATGTTTAACAACATAAATGAAGCAACTCTTTTTTTGTGAATCTTTAAATTCATTACACCCATCTTTGGTCTTCACAATGGAGGAGGACGAAAATAATTCTATCTCGTTTCTTAATGTTTTAGCTGAGCGAAAGAATGGTACTTTTATTACTAGTGTGTTCCATAAGCAACTTTTACAGGTCTAAACACTAATTGGAAGTCTTTTATTCCGCGTACCAGAAAAATAAATCTGGTCAAAACTTTGGTTCATCGGGCCATAATGATTTGTTCCTCTTGTTCACTTCAACAAGAGTTGATAAAAAAAAATTCGTTCTATTCTCATCAATAATAGTTTTCCAGCTAATACTATTGATCGTATAATGGAACGGAAGATAGATAATTTTAATATGTCTGCCAAATTTGACCCTAGTCTGTGTCCTATCGACTTGGCAGAAAATGCAAGATTTTGAGTGACAGAATTTCTAGAACTACCTCTGCTACTTTCTTTTCAGTCAAATTACGTGTTGGTTCTGGCACCCTTCCAGTGTTTCCTTCATTTACTAAGAGCCGTCTGTCTTATCTATAAGTTTAAATATCAGTGTGAAGCTGAGTATATAGACGGAGTAGTCTTTGATTGGAAGCAAGTATAGACCAACACTAAAAGACTTGAGAGAAACAAAACAGCAGAACAAAATGGGTTTGGTTTGGTTTTGATTTGTTTTACGGTATATCAACCTCAATGGACTATCTAATGCCGACAAAATTTTTATTGCTGGTAATATGTCTTTCTTCAAAAAATCTATTGCTAGGAATATTTTACCTTGAAGAAATCTAAAGCTGGTCATATTTTTTCCAAAGAATCTATAGCTGTTTGTATTGCTGGTACTTTTTTTAAAAGTATTGTTGATAATAATTTTTCCTTCAAAAATTATAGCCGGTATTTTTTATTACAAAGTTTTTCTGGTATTAAAACCTATTTTTACACAATTTTGGGTGTTAAATATTTGTCCATAGCTGAGACCCTAACAGTGCCACCACCCTGAGTCAGGGTGGACCTGGGAACGACAGCAACTAAGAAATGGTTCCACGATCCTCAAAATCTCAGATCAGAGGCCTTGCTGTTGGACGTAGTTTATTGTCTTACCCAGGACGCGGATGTAGTTTATGGTTTTACCCAGGACGGAGAAAAAAATGGGATCTTAATAAAAATGTTTTCAGCCTTAAACAATTTCGTGATCAAAAAGATTCCTGAAATATAAGACAGTGGTGAAATAACGGCTGATCTTAGTATACCCAGTTTCGTAGTAATGCGTAAGAAGTCAGGTGCAAATGAATGGGCAAATCGGTAGCAGAATCTTATCATTTGTTTGCCTCTGAAATTGAGTATATGACATTTGCTCCATATGTAATATAAATAAAAGATGAAATGTAGGTTCCTCCAAGATTTTTCAAAAAAGAGAATACCATGATGAAAAAAAATCCTCAAATTTGATAAAAATAAAGTTTTATCGTCAAATTATGCATGTTATTATTAAGGTGAAAAATCACAGTATTTTTTATTATCTTATTAAATTTTTTAACAGTATTTACATTAGTCGGACTATTGTCCTCATCTTTGTCGCCATATTTGTCACAACGTTTCGGCCGTTGTACACTCCGGCCTTCTTCAGGTGGTTGGAATTTCGAACTGAACCCTTTATTTCGATCACTGGGGTAGACAGTTCTAGTTCCACGTGCCATGTTTGATGGATGTCAGTTATCAGTTATCTCCTGTTAATTTCCCTCTGAAAGTTCTCCACTGCCTTAACCAGGTACTGAACTCACCTTCTTTGGGTCTGTCACTGGATCTAACCAACGCCTTTATCCACTGTGCCATGTGTCTTTGAGGACATATATATAGACAGACTCTAAATTTTTTAATTCTTTCTAACACGTTTAAAATTTTAGTTAAAAATCTTGTTTTTCTTAGGGCCAAAGCTTAGTATGGGAAATTTAGCGCCTCTTTTGCAGTTAAAAAACAACACATTGTTTTAGAAAATCAAATAATTGTCGGATTTTAATTTTCAGGACTTATTCAAAAATGAATGTAATCTTTTTTTTATGGAGGTCCCTAGTGCTATGTTTTAAGTATAGTCAACCCTTATTTATGTACAACTAGTATTTATTTGATCTATTAGTTTCAAGAAATAACCCAAACTGTGAGTTACGAATTGGGGACGTTCAGAATCAATCAGGTACAGATACTTATCGATCTGGGTAATGTAGTAACAGATACTAGAATATGGGGCATAGAAGTTGGAAGATACACTGGAAAAGGGAAAGAGGCATACACACAGTATAAAGACACTAAATTTCAGTAGAATGAAAGAGTGCTGAACTGCTGTGCCATATCTAATCTCCCGTATGACAATGAATGCTGCGTCCTGGGTATGACGATAAACTACATCCGGTAGCAAGGTATCTGATCGGGAGGTTTTGAGAAGCGTGGAAACACCTCTTAATTGCTGTTGAACCCAGGTCTACCCTGATCCGAGTTGGTTGCACCTGTCAGGTTCCAAGCTACTGTCTATTAGTTAACTGCCAAACTGGGATCAAAACATTTTTATAGTAAAAATACAATAAATATACTTTCAGAGTAAAAAAATAATTGCCAGTATTAAATTTTTATAAATGAAAAATAATTACCAACAACACATTTTGGTAAAAGAAATTACTAATGTTTCTAAGAAAATTAAATTTCGGCATTAAATGACCCATGAGTAGTTGATGTGCCGTAAAAAAAAAAAACAAGCAAGCAATGAAAGCTGGACAATTTCCTCACTATTAAAGAAGTGACAACGAGAGATTGTTTTTTGTTTAGCGGCATGAGGTGATTTAATACCTAATATTCTAATGTTATGGGTTATTTAATACCAAAATCCAAATGATTTATTTTTTACTGATACAAGACTTACTAATTAACCCATAGCTGAGGGAGAAGAAATGAATTCATGCTTTTCCTAAGTGTATTTACGCATAAGTGGATATAAAGATCCACACAGGAATTGGAACTTGGCTCTCCGATTAACAATTTTGAGTCATAATGCATTAAACCATCTGCATATCGAAGCTTACAGCACCAGATATTCCCAAGCTGTCACCCATCTAGGTACTGATCAGGCACGACGTTGCTTAACTTCGGTGAGCATATCGGAGTCGGTGTTTCAACATATGGCCGTAAGCCTGACAGCGAGAAAGATGTGGTCAGGCAGAAGGATGTCATAGAGTTTTAAAGAAAACAGAAAGGAAATATACTTACAATCAGAAAATATTGAAATTTCTTTTGGAACACATAATAAGGAAAGAAGTCTAGGAGAATTTAAGACTCATAGGACATATGAAAAGTAAAAAAAGGCAGAGGGAAACAGAGTAACTTACTTGCCGATGCTGTGCAAATGGATGACAGAGGGATGGAACGAGACAAAGATTACTTTTAGATGTACAAATGATAGGAAGGTGTGGAGATTTATTATATATTTCTCACCCACACAAGACAGACATGCTTACGGAGGTGTGGAGGCCTCACACTTATACACTTATACACACACCCACACGAATATACACACTTATATACATCATGCTCACTCACTCCCTAATGAGCCAAATGATAACACACACCCACAGCAATACACACGCTTACACATATCATACTTACTCACTCCCTAAGAACCAAATAACACACACACACAAACACTAAACAGAGACACATCCCCTCACCAGGTCCAATAAAACTGTCAAAATGACCAGAGAAGTCAGAGCAGCATGTATCTATCCAGCTCTTATCTCAAATAACAACTTAAAAGAGACTGTTTGACCAACACAAGGATTGTTAAAAGGTTCATGTTAAAAAGATTAAAAAAAAAAACAAATGAAAACTACAGACGAAAGTTCATTTTCTCCAGCAAAAGATACATTTCTGTAGTTTACTGCTACCAGCAAGCAGAAATATTTCTCCTCCCGATGATGGCCATTTTGGTCGAAACTAGTTGAGGAATCTAAATGAAATAATAATAAAAAAAAAAAACGAAAGAATATTAATCTACAACCCAGTGTGTCTAAAGATTTTAATTTTTTAATATTTTTTATTGTTCAATATATATATATATATATATATATATATATATATATATATATATATAGTCATCCACAGACCAACTGTTTCGCCATATCACAGCTCATCAGTGTGGCTTGGCATCCGATTGCCTCAAGCCGGGATCGAAATCCGACTAATTTGGCATCAATCTCAACACAACAATCTTTGTTTACAACAGTTCACTATCTTCCATGACCTTGTGCGTATTTTTGAGTATTTTTGCGAATTTTTGCATATTTTTTTGAATAAACACCCCAGTGAGCGATAGGGCTCAACTCATAGAAGAACTTTGTATTATCAGCAGTAGTAGTCACTGTTTACAAATTCGCGCTTTCTCTCCAGAGTGCTCGACCGGGATTAATTTTTTATATTGTCATCCCCAGACTGTTTCACTGTATCACGGCTCATCAGTGTGACTCTCATCCGATTGCCTCAATATATATATATATATATATATATATATATGTGTGTGTGTGTGTGTGTGTGTGTGTGTGTGTGTGTGTGTGTGTGTAAAAATATATAGAAAATAGGAAAGAACTCGTTAGGTAAATAATCCAAAGTTCTTTAGTATTTTGTTATTATTTTAAAAAATAGTGCTCGATACAAAAAGTAGAGCATAAATATAATTATTTATTTAAAAATATGATTCCAACGCTACATGAGAGTTCTCATGTTTCAAAACACGTAAATTTCAGGAATTAGTTATTCAAAAAAAATTTCGCTTGAAGATGGAACAGAGCTTGGTACTTTAATTCAATTTAATTCAAATAAATATATTGAAGTTTTCGGCTCTTGTTTTGAAACATGAGCACTCTTATATAGCGTTGGAATCATATTTTTAAATAAATAATTATATATATATATATATATATATATATATATATATATATATAGTGACCAAAGGAGATGAGCGGAGTAAGTATTGTGAATCATCGAAACGTCAGAAACTGTAAATTTCTCTGCGAGAAATTTCTTATTAAACATTGTTCCACGGTCTGCTTAGTCGCACTGACTTTGCAATCACATCATGACATTATTTCTAAATATAGGTCATGGAAGATAGTGAACTGTTGTGATGTAAACGAAGATTGTGTTGAGATTGGGTGGAAACACCTAACTGATTGCTCGTCCACCTACTACGGCGGGGGTTTTAGGCCGAGAGGGGGAAGCGACGGGTGAAACAAAAATAACTCTACTTCAAAACCCACAGTAACTTTAGAAACAAAGTTCCTACGGGACCGACTTCACAAGACACCGTATCTTCCTGATTGATGGTTTTCTCGTTGCTTTTATTAGTATGAGTTATCTTACAAAGATAACGGGTCTTGACCAGTTGCAGAGAGGACCGTCATTAGATATTCCAAGCTGTCCCGCTGCTAATGGGAAAAAAACGGATATAATTGGCCTCTTTTGCTTCTGTACCGACGTACGTTTGCCACACGAACGTACTCTAAATATTTAAATCAAATATTAAAAACCATTTGTTATCGTATTTCCTTGTTGAATAACGCTACTTAAAAACAAACTTTCATTTTTTTAAAAATAAATCTGACTGTCGAACATACATACAACAACATACAAGAACTTAAAAGGCAAGTGAAGATGAAGCAAGCGAAATAAAGCAGAACTAACCCCACCATAACCAATGTTGCACCTAAAGATGACGCTGTATATATGGACTGGAACAGAGTGCTCCTTCCGGTGTGTCAAACGATTGATTCGAACAAGTATTTCTCCCAATTAGACTAATTCAGATGAAGAGGCGATTTGAAAGATGGTTCTACAGGAGGATGCTGAGAATACCGTGGACCGAACATGTGAGCAACGACGAAATTTTAGAGAAAATGGAATAAAAAGGAAACGCATATTTAACATCAGGAAGAAAGAGTTGAAATTTCTTGGACTCATAATGAGGAAAGATAGAGGGGGAAATTTTCATATTCACGGGGCAGACTGAGGACAAGAGGGAAACATCGCATAACTTACCTAGAGAGCTTGAATATTCGGACGGCAGAGCAAGGTTTAGAAGAGATAACTAAAAGAGAAAAATTACTAAGAGCAGAAAATTGTGGAGAGCCATGATCGCCTACGTCCTGAGGGGACGCAGCACATAGAAGAATAGGAATGAGCTTGTCTAAATGGATGACGGAACAAGGTTTAGGAGAAATAAAAAGAGAAAATTTATTAAGAGCTACGAACGACAGGAAATTAAGGAGAGCCATGATTGCCTACGTCCTGAAGGGACATGGCACATAAAAGAAGAGTAGTAATCAACAGAAGTAGTCCTATGGCATTAGTTAATATATTTTTACGGAACACGACATTTCTTTTGTGAGCAAAACAATTGATCCCAATTGGCTGCAAAATCTTTCTCTCACCAACTGTCTTCCATAAATATTTCAACACCGAAATCAACTTTATTCCAGTGTTTTACAGAATCCTCTAAACCAGTCGTTCTTAACCGGGGCCTGGTGATTTTTATAGGGGCAATAGAAAAGTATTCAGATTGGGGGAGGGGACAAGTTCAATGGAAACGGGCCACAGTGTGCAACCCTGTTCCCGTCTATATTTTAGTTCTAATAAATTTAAATTATAAATATATATGAAATATATTGTTGCAAAAATAAATATATATTTACAAAATAAATATATATTGCTACAAAATAAATATATATTGTTACAAAATAAATATATATTGATACAAAATAAATATATATTTACAAAATAAATATATATTTACACAATAAACATATATTTACAAAATAAATATATATTGCTACAAAATAAATATATATTGTTACAAAATAAATATATATTTACAAAATAAATATATATTTACAAAATAAATATATATTTAAACAATAAACATACATTTACAAAATAAATATATATTGCTATAAAATAAATATATATTGTTACAAAATAAATATATATTTACAAAATAAATATATATTTTACAAAATAAATATGTATTGTTACAAAATAAATATATATTTACAAAATAAATATATATTTATAAAATAAACATATTTACAAAATAAATATATATTGCTACAAAATAAATATATAGTGTTACAAAATAAATATATATTTACAAAATAATTATATATTGCCACAAAATAAATATATATTGCTACAAAATAAATATATATTGTTACAAAATAAATATATATTTACAAAATAAATATATATTGTTACAAATAAATATATATTTACAAAATAAATATATATTTATAAAATAAACATATATTTACAAAATAAATATATATTGCTAAAAATAAATATATATTGTTACAAAATAAATATATACTTACAAAATAAATATATATATTTACGAAATAAATATATATTGCTACAAAATAAATATATATTGTTACAAAATATTTACAAAATAAAAGATATATTTACCAAATAAATATATATTTGTTACAAAATAAATATATTTTTACAAAATAAATATATATTTACAAAATAAATATATATTTACTAAATAAATATATATTTACTAAATAAATATATATATTTTTACAAAATAAATATATATTGTTACAGAATAATTATATATTGAGCTTTATTTACAAAATAAATATATATGAAATATATTGTTGAGTTTTATTTACAAAATTATTTCGATTTGCTTATTGAATGACCAACGCGTAGTTACCAAATCGCAATGGCCACTGATATTCATTTCTCTTTCTTTTCCGCGGTTCAAGCTGAGTTTTCCCGCCTATTTTTAATTGATTTTCATTATCAATTATACTGACTTGTTAATAAGAAATACCATCACAATAAATGAAATAAAATATTTTTCTCACATTGGTGTCCCCCAATTTATTGAACAGATGCACACTTTTCATTTAACTGGTTTGGTTTTTAAAACAAGCAGTTTTGAAACTTATATGGAATAACAGTTTTTTTTAAGCATTTCACCCCAAGCATAACGGGAGTGCCATTAACACGCAAGGGGTTACAGAGAGTGAAAGCAAAAGTAAAGAGAGGTGTTTGAGGAAAGGATATAGACAAGGTCATGGACCAGGATCAAGGTATCAGAAGATGTCGATTGGCATTATATTTAAAGTTAAAG